TCATTCGCTGTTGTCTTATGGGAGCGGCAGCAGACGAGCGCTCAGACTGAGAGAGAGATCTCACAATGTGTGATTTACCGAGGTCATGCTGTGTGAAAAAAAGACGCTATTTGCTTTTGCATGTTTTGATTGTGAGAGGTTCTGTGCGAGGAAGAGGTTGTTTTCCTTTCTTAAGATGTTCTCTTACATTTGTCACAGCCCTTTCTTCTGCACGGCTCTGATAAAAACATAAACTCTACTTAACAAAAACACAGCCAACAAAAGGCACATGCTGTTAGACTGACATTTCAGCTGCTCACTTTCTTACCAACGTGTTCCTGTAACACATTTTGTATTCATGCAAATGAATTAATGTGAACTGAATATGTCACTTAAATTCACACGTACGACACGGTCCGTGATGCATGCCATTATCTGTATTACACAACAACCACAGGAAGGCATAGTGTGCAACAGTTTTTCTTGCTTTTCAGTAGCTACATACACATACACGTTCTCTGTGCGTAGCTGTTGTTCCGTTGTGTGTTTTTAAAGTCTCTTATGCTCACCACAGTTCCATAAACAATCAAAAATATCTATCTATCTATCTATCTATCTATCTATATCTAATCTATCTATCAATAAGCTCTTTATCAGAACAGATCTGGAACAGGAACATAAAGAGTTTTTTATGGATAATGGACTTGTATTTTGTTCAGAAGCAATGATTTAAAGTTAAAATGTCTTAAAAATGAATTTGTTTCTTAGAAACACAGTTTCTTGTTTCACAAGACATTCATCGATTGGAGTTGTGTGGATTACTTGTGGATTATTGTGATGTTTTTAATCAGCTGTTTGGAGTCTCATTCTGACGGCACCCATGCACTGCTGAGGATCCATTGGTGAGCAAGTGATTTCTTCAAATCTGTTCTGATGATCTTGGATGGCCTGAAGGTGAGTACATTTTCATTTTTGGGTGATTTATTCCTTTAAGGCAGGTACACATTCGCAATATCACAAAGTTCTGTCATGAAACTCTAGAAGGCGCAGGCCGATTGGTTCTAACTCAATCTGAAATAATGACATCATTATTCACACTGCACAGCTGATTGGTTTCTTTTCACATCAGAAGCCAATGAGCTCGCTTATATATATATATATATATATTCCACCAAGACCAAACACATTAACATTGCCATGTATATTGCAGTGGGGAACCGTCAGGGCCCTCTACAATCTTTAAATAAATGTTTTAAAATATAATATTTTTAAGAAAAAAAATTATTATTACTAATTTTATTTAAGCAATTCATAATTTGACAAACTAAAAATAAATAAATACAACTTCTGGGAAAAAAAAAAAAAAAAAAAAACTTCAAATCTGCGTATTCAGTGAATGGACTTATGAACTCCGCCCATTTTCTCCATAGAATGTTTCCGCCTAGCGTTTGCGGCTCTGTGTTTGGTGGTCCAACTATGAAATTACAGAGGGCCAAGCAATAGTAAATCAATGGGGGAGTAATTTCGAATGACAGAAAAATTGACCAATCATATCTTTCCTCTAAATGGGCGTGCCTTGTTATCACTAACTTTATGTAAATTCCGCCCGCTGTGGGGATCTCTCAGAAAAAAAAAAATATATGCTGTTAAACTAACTAGCTATTATTTACGTCACGATGGAAGCCGCAAATAACGTAAGTGAGCACATTTACTAGGCTGCTGAGCCAATAATAATATTATTTATTATAAACACTGCTTGGTTTGTCATGAAGTGTCTGTCGCTAATTTGTTTTGTGTCAGCGCTGTCATGTTGTGTTGTCTTAAACACATTACATTTGTTGGTTTTGTGTGATGGGAGGGAGTGTCTGTACGTTTTGCCCGCTGAAGTGCACATATTGTGTGATGATGCATTTGTAATGAGGATTTGCATTTGACTTAAATTTAGCTGTTTTATTTTGGTAATATCAGTCACTCTCGCTGTGCTGTTTTGTTGCGGTCGCACATCGGACGAGAAGCACAGTGGTTCCCCGGTGCAAAACGAATCACACACTGAACACGTTGCGTCAGCAAACGGGATGAGAAATCGCGATCTATAGCACAATGAATCACAGAATTTATTAGAGCCACAGAAAGACAAACGTTTTGCTGAAAAATGCACAATACACAATCTTCCAACGTAGGATGAAGTCATTATGTACATTAACAATAATTTGGGACAAATATAATGTAATTTAATGGAAAATTATGTGGGTGGCGCGGCAGGATTATGAACAGCGCCCGGAGTCG